AAACAAAATGATTTAAAAAAATAAAAAATTTTTTTATCTGAATAATGCTCCATTTTATTTTAGGTGCCTTGAATTCCTAGACCCGGTATAATAAGCGAGTATGAGCCAGGCAACTTCAAAGAATAAAGTATTTTTATGAGAAAAAACAAACAAAAAAAACCCTTTTCGAAGATAGCAGCATGCAAACATGAACAACACAATCTCCATGAGAACACGGATAGTGATGGTTATTTCCTGGCATGTGATCACACTTAGACCCAACATATCAATTTCTTTCATATTTAGCTTTGCAAAATGGTTATTGCCTTTCTCCCCCCCTTTCTGGAGTTTTTAGGCTTGCTTATTTAGATCACCATGGTCCAAAAGACTGGGCACATATTAAGGAACACTTAATAAAAAATATATTTTCAAACATTTATTCGGCATTCTAGTCTATTCTTTGAGTAAATATTGGGATTCCTAGGATTGTGATTCATTGCAAAACATGAGCTTTAGTTGCACAGTATGTGATATACATTTGGCTGTAGAACTACAAAGCAACTTGATCATTCTAAACATAATATGCTGGAACTTACAGCTGATCCGGGTTTTGTGACAGTCGCTCCTGGCAGAGGGGTTAGGACATGACCTCCCTACATATAAATAACACAAACTTTGGTTTATATCAGTTATCAATGAACATGCTTATATACAATGCATCAATTTCACATTTCATCACTCTGTAAAAAGCTAGGTATTTATTTCTGTATATTCTCTAAAGGGTTTAGAGGGATTCCCCTTTCAGGGTTGCTGCCCTTTTCTGTTGATTAGCGCTGAACAATTTTTTGTATTCTCTCCCTAACCTATAGCCTGCATGGGATGGCAACCTTTGGGACTCCAAATGTCACGGACTACGTCTCCCACAATGCTCTTAAGCCATAATGCTGGCAAAGCACCAGAGGAGATGTAGTCTACAACATCTGGAGTGACGGAGGTTGCAATCCCCTGCTATACGTCATCGCCCATCTTCCAGTCTTACGTGCTGAGCAATTATTTGCCACCTCCCATTCATTCTTGCAGAGCTTGTTTGATCTCTTCTGCCACCAGTGCACTGTCCTGCCCACTCATACTTTTGCCATCAGTGCACCTCCTTGTCCTTTCCCACCGCTGGTAATAATGCACCTTGCTGCTCTTTCCCACCACTACCAGCATACTGCCCCCTCCCACTTATATCTGCAATGCATCCTTCAGCTTGCTCTGTCCTCTTACTGCGGTTTTGTTTTTTTATCATTCTCCTTATTCTAGAATTCTGAATTCTATCCAGATCACCATCTCCCACATTTGTAAGGTAGCATTGATCAATGTGCTGCAGCATTTCACGACACTGCCACTGTCTTAAATTTGCTACCTACTCACCGTCTCAGTTTGCCAGAATGTATCCACAATCGGACATCTCTTTCCTCCAACAACATTGTAATACCACAGCCAGGCTTCAGGGTTAATAGGCTCTCCAACTGTTCCCAATACCTTCAGCGACTTCCTGCTATACCTGCCACAAACATCCATAACATTCATCATTAAATATATGTGAGTAATAATGTGAAACGAAATCTATCATTTAAAATGTTCTCCTTTTAGTAGCACATTACACCTGCGGCTGAGCCACTTAACAAAACAAATACCGTCGTGGATTTATTTTTTTATGTTTTTTTAAACTTTGTTCTCCAACTGTTCCCAACACCTGCCACATACAAAAGCACCCATGGTGGTATTTATCATTGTACATGTGAGCAAGATTGGCCATATCTATCATTTAAAAATCTTCCCCTTTTTGAGGACTAGTCTTACCAATAGCGAGCTAAAAGATATTTAATAAATTGTTTATTTTTGCTGTGCGAGATGATACATTCAGTCTTGTCATGCCCCAACAGCAGTTGACAAGGAAGTCGAAGTACATAGTTTACATGTGGTAGGGCATTTAGCAAGTACATGCACATCTTTTTAAAAGTTATATTGAGAAGCTTAGGAACATACTGTATGAACATGCTAGGTATACATATCTTAACTTGGCTTTAAGTATCGGTTTGCAAAGAAATTAAAGAGCTAGGCATGTAAATAGATATCACACATCTATATTCACCAAGCTGGGAATGTATGTCGTCGTCTCACAGGTGGAATAGTGATCTCCCAGAGGGGAGAGAAGCTTTGAGGGCAGTGTTATTGATCCATAACAGGGAGGAGTGGGGAACCTTCGACTCTCCAGATGTTTTGGACTACATCTCCTATGATGCTCTTACAGGCATAATGCTAGCAAAGCATCAAGGGAGATGTAGTCCACAACAGCTGGAGGGCCGAAGGTTCCCCACCCCTGATTGAGGGGGTAGTCCGCTGCTTAGAAATAGAGTGGCACACAGCTGGTCTAATTCTGTGGCGCTGAAGCTTTTGTCGGGTCACCCGCCTCCTCCTTCCCGCTATCCGAGCCGTGCCCTTGGCCCCGTCTAGGAGCTGCGGGCTGCTGCTCGGTGTCACGTGGAGTTATTGCCGGTGGAGCCTCCTCAAGCGTGCCCCTGTGATTAGAGAGCTTGACCCAGAAGTTGGTGAACAGGCGATCTAGCCTTTCCGAGAGAGAGGGCAGCAGAGAACTGGGTGTGGAGTTGCACGTGGCATCCGCCATGATATTCATTGCTGGTCCGGAGGTGCATGTAGGACAATGTTGGTGTTTTGTTTCTGTGCCGCAGGTTGTGAGTGCCGGGATATCCCTCACTGGCGGGGGAAGAGTATGCAGGGTAGACCTCCAGTTGAGTTGTCTGCAGTCAGCTAAGGGATTGGCGGCCTCCCTCGCTCTGTTTGAGTAGGCCTCAGGTCTATCCCCGGGAAGAAGTCGCCGATTTCAGTCGAGGATCCTGTTTGTTGCCACAGTGGTAGATCTCTGTCTCTGGGGCTTATGAGCAGGCTATATTTACGGCTATTTGCTTTAATCTTGGCTGGATATGAGCAGTTTAGCACGGAGCTCGTACGATGTGCGACCGGTCAGCGTGACTGCTAGGCTCCACCCCCCTCCGGTTCAATTTTAAACTGCTCAACAACATGTTTTGAAAGCCTGTATCAGGCATAGGCAACCTTTGGCACTCCAGATGTTTTGGACTACACCTCCCATGACGCTTTGCCAGCATTGTGCGTGTAAGAGCATTATGGGGGATGTATTCCATAACAAGGTTGCCTATCCCTGGCCTATTATTAGATAGCAGGCACAGGACGTTTAAAAATAAATAAATAAATAAAATGTGTTCTGAATAAACCATAGTAATCTGATGGCCTAATATGGCTACTACTAAGTATTTGGTTCCAAATTGATGAACCAGGTACCTTCAACCTGTTTTTTAATGGTCCCTAACCGGTTTCAGGCACCTCAGGTTAATGCTAACTAACGATCCTGGATGTTTGAGGTACCAGAAACAGGTTACAGGTTATTATTCAATCTATTGGTTTTCATAATCAGTGATGGGCATAGCAAGGTCATCACTGATGGATAAGGTGGCTATTTTAGTAGCAACCCTGATTTCTGACAAATGTTTATGACAATCTTGAACCAATCAAACAATGACCGAATGTCTGAGAAATCATACCACCACATATCAAGACCATATCACATTGCCCTCTCCTACACTGGAGTTGTGGGAGGGGATGATCCGGCCTATATAAACCCAAAGCTACCTCCATACCGGGCTGACGTCGATTGGTCACTTCCGGTTTTGCCAGAAGAGTTTCCTGTGTAGTTTTCCCAGGCCCAGTTACAGCCAGGATACTGTCCAGGCAATCCAGCAGGCCCTCGCCAATCCAGCAGCCCTCGCCAATCCAGCAGGCCCTCGCACCGCGGATCAAAGACGCCAGCGACAACCGCTCGAATACTGTTTCTCACAGTGCAACTAGGCTTCCGGGACACCCTCCTGAACTTCCGGGTCACCATCCAAGCACTTGGTAACCGTGAGTACACACTAACGCGCAAAACTACCAAACGGTTTTGCATACGCACAAACTCAATTAGACAGCGGTTTGTAACCGAAATTACTAAAGAACCACAAGGCACGTACGCAGTCACACAAACCCAATTTCATTACCCAAACACACAGCAATTCACATAGGAACCTCATACGGCTGCTCACACTTTTCATTCTAAAAATAAGCATTTTGTTCGGCTAATATTAACGTTACAATCCCCATACGCATAGGCGCACCAACACTGCCATCTATGGTCAAAAGTATTAACTACATTAAAGCCTAAACTGTTACACCTATGCTGTTATAACTTTAAACGGGCAAGCGAGATATGGATTAATGATACGATATGTTTAATTCTTGATAATCTGTTAAATAAATTTATAATAATCTGTTAAGTATGCTTTAAATAAATATAGTATTGCTAGTTACATAGTATGTGTTAAGTAGTTCCGATGTCAGCATATTGTACATATATATGATAAATTAGACGGAATGTTTCAAGTATACCTAAAGTATTGTCATTATTTAATTTCAGAACACAGATCAATACTCTGTTGCTTACCAACCTATCCCATTTTTTATTTTCTTGTACACACGGTATGTTTAAAACTGGAGCGGTTTCTAGGGGGGTCGAGGGAGAGAGGGAAATGTCACAGTAACATCCCTGGCAGTTGAGGGCACCATAAAACCTGTACATGGGGGGCACTGTTTTACTCGGGAGACTTCGCTGAAGACAAATATTAGTGTTTCAAAACAGTAAAATGTATTAAAACGATGATGATATCAGTGAAAGTGACGTTTCTTGAATTTTTCACACACAAACGGCACTTACACGGACGATATAATTGTTGTGATAGGTTTTACGGTTTTGAAACACTAATACTTGGTAGCCCTCATGTACAGGTTTTATGGTGTTTTCAAAAGTTACAGAGTCAAATATAAGGCTTGCGTTTCATTTTTTTCACATAGAAATTCGCCAGATTGGTTACGTTGCCTTTGAGACCGTATGGTAGCCCAGGAATGAGAATTACCCCCATGATGGCACTGGCGGAACTACCGCGGTCGCAGCTGTGACCGGGCCCGTCATTCCTGCGACCGGGGTAGTTCCTCCAGTGCCATCATGGGGGTAATTCTCATTCCTGGGCTTGGAAAAACTGATATCTCCAACGCCTCCAAGCTGCTTCCGATACACCCGTCACCATGGCATCTGCATGGAATAAAATGAAAATGTCTTTATTATTTAGCCAGCCGCTTAACCTTCGGGGCCAAGAGTAACCCCAAACTATTCGATCTGTTTGCAGAAACGCTGTGCTGGCTCCTATTGAATATCAGCTGCTGTCCAGTCGTAATTCATTACTTAGACGACTTTCTGACAGTAGAAAGCCCCACATCCACTCCTCAAAGTATAATCAAAACAGTAGCACTTTTTTCCACACTAGGGGTACCGGTAGCTATGGACAAAACAGTAGGTCTCACCACCAAACTGACATTTCTAGGCACATGCCTACACTCAGTCACAATGCAAGCTAGTCTCCCCGTCAACAAACTTCATAGAATCAAGCAGAATTAGAGTTATTCCTCATTAGGGGTACTACGTCTCAAAAAGACCTTCAATCCCTCCTGGGTTCTCTGAACTTCGCCTTGAAAATAATTCCACAAGGTCGCGCGTTCGTTTCCAGACTAGTTAGTCTGTTACCAAACCTACCAAGCAACGATAGCGAAGTCACACTGGACGGACAGGCTAGGGCAGATGTGTCTATGTGGAGCCAATTTTTGGCTCACTGGAATGGCATAAACATGTTCATCCCACCTTTTACAGAAAACTCCCCAGTATTATGGACAGACACGGCAGCCCACTCAGGGTTCACAGACATTTTTGGAGATAAATGGTTCAGAGACATGTGGCCGATAGAGACAGTAAATTTGCCATCATTCAACAGCACCTCTGACCCTTTCGAAATTTACCCAATAGTGGCAGCAGCCCAAGTGTGGGGCTACCTTTGGAAAGGACAGACAGTAAAATGCTACACAGATAACACGGCAGCATGCAACATAATTAACAAGGGCAGGTCCTCATCTCTCACAATCATGAGTCTAGTCAGGAGACTAACGTGGCTGGCAGCAACACTTCCACTTGATTTGCGAACATGTACCAGGTAATCACAACACAGCAGCTGATGCCCTCTCTCGTTCTAAACTACAGGTTTTCTACCAAGTACATCCCACAGGAACTCAGGAACTCCGGAACCAGTACACAATCAAAAAACTGGGACGATGGTAATCATCAGAATACAACCGCTACATACCCCCACCGGAAAAAGAACTCAGACATGTGTTTAAAGAGTTAGCTAAATAGTGATAAAAAGGTCATATCTTCACGGTTGTTATTAACGGTTACATACGTTTTAAAGTTTGCTTTGTAAAATCTCTTTATTTTCAGGCCAGCCTGTATGTCGGTTTCGGCACACCACAACCGAATTTAGTAAATATAATGGTTAACGCTTACTCTGCTTTTTTCCCTGACCACAAATGGGAAGAGGGAGCCTGGAGTTGTGGGAGGGGATGATCCGGTCCATACAAGCCCAAACCTACCTCCATACTGGGCTGAAGTCAATTGGTCACCCCACCCATATATTTATATATATATATATATATATATATATATATATATATATATATATATATATATATATATATATATATATATATATATATATATATATACACAAATTCCATCTTGGTGGGCCCTCTTTATTTACAGGCCTGCCCGTTAAATGGCAGAGAATTGAACAGTGAGACTGCAGGGATATGATTAATACACCAAAACCACTCCATTAAGCTAAAGTTGTTTTGGTCCTGATAGTGTCTCTTTAAAGGACCACTCTAGGCACCCAGACCACTTCAGCTTAATGAAGTGGTCTGGGTGCCAGGCCCAGCTAGGTTTAACCCATTCTTTTATAAACATAGCAGTTTCAGAGAAACTGCTATGTTTATGAATGGGTTAAGCCTTCCCCCAAAGACTCTAGCGGCTGTCTCATTGACAGCCGCTAGAGGCGCTTGCGTGCTTCTCACTGTGATTTTCACAGTGAGAGCATGCCAGCGTCCATAGGAAAGCATTGTAAATGCTTTCCTATGCGACTGGCTGAATGCGCGCGCAGCTCTTGCCGCGCGTGCGCATTCAGCCGACGGGGAGGAACGGAGGAGGAGAGGAGGAGGAGAGCTCCCCGCCCAGCGCTGGAAAAAGGTAAGTTTTAACCCTTTTCCCCCTTCCAGAGCCGGGCGGGAGGGGGACCCTGAGCGTGGGGACACCCTCAGGGCACTATAGTGCCAGGAAAACGAGTATGTTTTCCTGGCACTATAGTGGTCCTTTAAGCAAAGCAGTTTGGCACAACTGATCCCCAAGTTCTTGCAATGTTTGACTGCAGATAAAGAGTAGTGTGGTGCTTATATGCCCGTCTGCCAATATCGCCAGGTTGGAGTTGTAGGTGGTGTTCCTCATGGTCTACACACATCGGATTGCACAGGGAATTCTCATCACTCAAGTCTTGACCTTGAACTAGGATATCCAAATGCTTTTTAGTTTACTGCACATTTAGCGCTCTTATCGTTAAGAATGTTATTTACTGGACAAGGAAATCAAACTAAAATCCTGATCTATATCTACGCGGACCCGCCCCCTCCTCCCCCCTCTGGGCTGGGGGGGTGATCCCGGTCCTCACCCCACAGCCGCACCCGGAGGCTATGACATACCAGGCCGCAATGAAGGCCCGAAGCCCAAAGCTAAGATGGCGGCGGCCACGTGTGAAGAGCCTACTTACAGAGCCCGGAACAGACCGCTGATCTCCACCGCATAGACATGCCAGGAATCCAGCAACGAGTAAGCAATGCGGGGCCCTAAGGGGACACCCACCCTCAGAGGCAGACGGAGAAAAGGGGGGAGACGCAGGGCAAATGGTGGCACAACGGACACCGCTACTGGCGCCATACACCGTCATACCCTCTGATAAAGCCGAAAGGCCGGAACCCATGTCACTGCACTGCGTCCCCCTCCAACCTACCAAATAGCGACAGCCCAAAAAGCGACACACCACAACTGTGGATACGCAGCAAGACATGGAAGACCCCACAGAAGGCGTACAACAAGCTCCAGCTCAAGGGGACACTGAGCGGACATTCCTCACTTAAACGAGCTAATACCACCGCAAAATGGATGAAGTAAAGACAGCACATTGCCTGAGTACCAACCTCACAGAATATACACATGTGGTGGCAACATACCGGCACACTTATCAAGACTACCCACACATATCAAGACTACCCAGACTACCCCATGCCCAACTGAGGCTGCGAGGCCGTAAGTGCCGAAACCAACTGTCAGGAGCTGGCTCAGAGACTCTCAGGGACACTAACTACATCTTATTTACAACAGTATTTATGTCCCCCTTATAATGTTGTGGTCACTGAGAACTTGAAATCAGAAATTGCCTTCCTTTATGTTTTTCTGGCCACCGACAATCTCTAACATACCCCCAAGTAGCACACACAGCTTCCCACTTACACACAGACTGAGGGGACACGCTCGCACTAAACACTCACACGAGGTCCGCACAGGCACACAATACAGCACAATACTCGACCACTTAACGTTACACGCACTCAGGGGCTCCTGTGTCTGATGGCTCGGGGTGACTGTCACAAAGTGCAGACACCCTCTCCAACTCTAACACTCCTGCATAGGCGGGGCATCGGCTGAGTCTGCTGTACCATCGACACATTAACCCTCTACCATGAGGTGCAGGCAGGTTGGATGACTAGCGAATAAGCCTTACACACTCACACACTGGGACTCTCTGCTGCAATTAATGTTCACCTGGTTATGCCTAACAGGTACCCCTAATATGCCTCTGTGCTGCATCTTGTGGTATATCAGTTAGTTGCAAGCATGTTGTAATTTGTCTATGCAATCACCATGTCTACTATATTCTCCATGACTAAAATCCTCTCTAGGTTTAAGGCGGAGACATGTCTGCCATGCCTGAATAACACTGTTCAGTCCTACACCTACAATTACTGTTAATTTATTTAGCACTTAATTTAAGCATGAACCTCAACGCATACTAATGTCACAAACGATAAGAAAAACCTGTACCCCATAATCCTGACGAGCTAATGATAACCTTGTGCACAATCTCTCATGTGCCCAAATAGCAATCCGGATGCACATATTTAGAGTGTAATGTTTCTCTTCTTTTATTAACTAAACGGATCTAAAGCATAGCATTACCATAATTTCTCATTGTCTGTATCAAAAGAATTGTTCTTTTATACCTTCTAAAAAAATGTGTAAATGTCATGCATGCCACGTCTTTGTCAAGACATGTAACTGTTAATATGCTGGTCTGTGCTATTGTGGCATAATCAGCTTGCCTGTTACTTGATTTTTGCACAACAAAAATAAAGAATTAAAAAAAATAAAAATGTGAACTAAGCAAGGTTTGCAACACTCTACCTTAGAGGTTTATGTTATAGGCGATTACAATGCTTTATTTGGTGGTGTAAGACGTGGAAATTCCAATATAAGATCAGTACCCTCGACAATAATATCTTAAATCAAAGCAATTATATTTTGAAAGTAAACTAGTATTTAGAGGCACACTCCAGAAGTGCTCTTGTTGTCCCCAATTCTAGAACAGTTTGATTCCATACATGGGGTCTGCAGCTCAGTGAAAGCGGTTTATTTGGAAATATTCACTTTTGACTATTGAGTAATACCTTTCCACTGGTTCATCTCCATACTTCATCAGCAGTCGAATGGCTGTCGGGGCCGTATAAAATTTGCTCACGTTATACTTATCGATGATCTGCCACATTCGGGAAATATCTGGGTATATTGGGAGGCCTTCAAACTATAGAATAACAGATGACAGGTCATTAAAGTCCCTATTCCAAAACTTTGCTTAGGCATTTGTATGTAAATCATTTACAGTGTTACGTCAAGTTTTGTTGCAAAGGATTACAGAATAAAGAGAATGGGAGCTCACAGGAGAGAAGAATCATCATTGAACAATTCCAATCGGAATAGGGTACACAGATTAGGAACAGTAGGTCAGGGAGAGAGGGACGGAGGCGATGATA